TGTTAAAAATGAACATGCTTTGTTGTAACAAGGAAGAATGACTATAAAAGGGTATATCAGACTCTCAGAAATATGATCTGGTTGAGCTCAGGAATTTAAACTTTATTAATTATAGCTTGAGACAAAAATAGCATGAGACAAATCAACAATTCCAGAGCTAATAATGGTTCATGTTTATGCTGTTGTTTTCCAACTAAAATGATATAATTCCTTGTAGAATGATGCCATTAAGTGTCTATATTCTGTTAGTAAAGGGGCTATTTCCAAAAAGACTAACAGTAAGAGGATGTAAAAATTTATTCAAACCAGAGTAGTGAAAATATTTAAAATTCACCTGTGTCCACTTAATTGTGATTTGTTATCTTAATATCTTTGTCATCTTTGACATATATCTTTAAGAAACACTAAAGTTTGTGATTTTTAGAATGTTCCAAAAGGGAAGCAGCAGATACAAAAGCTACTTTGAGTTCATTGACACTGAATTCGATATAAATATATTAAATTAATGCATGTGCAACTAATAATTTACTTTGCTGTTACTATTACTATTAATACTTTTTATTACTAAAAATATAAATAGCAATAGTAATAGTGTCTCACCTCTGAGCTGGTAGTATTTGAGGTAGTTAGTGACGGCTTGCTGCTGCACTGTTTCTTGACTGCAGTGGTGTACTCTACTGGACAGAAATACATTACGCTTATGCCTCGGCAAGAGTCCATGGTCTCCAGGCTTTTCCACACACATTTGAAACAATCTTTGTGAGCACTTATCTGGATTTTCAAGCATGGGAATCCAGTCAACTTCCCCTGAAAAAGAAATATACAAATTACTTGGTGATAGCCCTTCATCCATCACACTCCCACCTAATACATATTTACATACACAAATATACATACCTGCAGAAATATCCAGCTGGCCTATTGCAAAAATACAGCCTAAACAACACAGGATGCCGGTCCATATGAGCTTCCACATAGTGACTTCCTGTGGCTTGAAAATTAAGCTGTTGTAAAATAGTCGTTGCTTCACTTCGGACGATGTGACCAAACCTTCCTACACCTGTGCATACCTGTTACACAGTATCCACTGATAGTTACAATAGTATATTGTTGTAATAAAGTGCTATCCAGATTGCCAAAGATAAGCGCAGGTGTATAACTGTGGCAATCCTCTGGCAGGTAGGCAGGTGGAAGGGATTTTCCTTTTTTTTTTTTCCTTCTAATCTTGTTTAGTAATCCTGTAGAGCAGCTAATTAAGAAGTAACTGGAAGAACTGGAGTTAACCAAGTGTGCTAACCAAAAACACACGGGCAGGGAATGAGGAGTAAAGGAGGAAATGAGGAAAAGGTGATTTGCCAGATTTCCATAAACCAAAATAATCTGTACCCAATATAAAGTTCTCAGTGGAGGCATACTAATTTAACGCTTATGTAATCACTTCTCACCCAAACACCTGACCACCTGTCAGGTTACAAGGTAATAAACAAGTAAACTACATGACCAGAACTATGCAACTACTTAAAGCTGCAATGAAATGGAGGTAGTGACAGATCTTTTCTTCCATATTGTGACATACATCCAAATAAAACCGGTTATCAAAAAAACAACAACAACAACATAGGACGGGGACTTCAATCTGTTATTGATTGGATGGAGGCAGATCTGAATGAGAGCTTGCAGTTGATTGTAAGAAAGGGGCAGGGTTTATGCAGACTAAAAGATTGGATAACTCTGGCATACATCACCAGAGAGAAGCCTGTCTTTTTTACTGGAAGACTGAGCTAAGACATTTGATTAAACATTAAGAGGTCCAAAAAAAGTATAAAGTGAAACATGGATGAATTATTCACAAATCACCTCAAAATCGTGTCTCAATGTTTAGCAGATCAAGGCACTTGCTTGTGCCTACACTTGTATTTACAATACAGATTTACATCTGGGAACGGTAGCTAACAACTGTAGCCACTGAAATAGACCTGCAAACACGCACCTTCTTTCCAAAACCCTGCCCTCTAAAGACTTGACTGACAGGGATGTCAGAGAGACAGGTGTGATTTCTCAGATTCAATTCAGGGGCATTTTTAGAAATAATTAATTCTAAACAAGATTTTGTTTTAGATGTGGCCGTGCTTGACTTGCATGGCTAAGACTAAGACAGGATTTTGTACCCCCTGTGATCGCACACTGGTTTAACTGCCACAGTACAATTACTGTACAGGTGGCTTAGTGTGTGTGTCCTTAAAAATTAACCAACACAGGTACAGTAAAGAAGAAAGGTTTGTAAAAATACAGCCTAATGTATTGTGTTAATATAAAGGGATTTGCACTATTGATTTTTCACAGGTGTTTTAGTGTTTGTTTTTGTTGTTGTTTTTTAATTATATATTGAATTGTGTTGTGTTGTGTTTGAGGATTGGAGGGAATGTCCATAAACGTAACAGAAAATACACCAGTAATTTTCTGTCAGGACATTATCCTTTTTTTCCCCAGATTTTGTTTCAGTGTAACTTACTTCCATACTACTTTTTATATACTACTGCTACCATTTCTGTAGTATATATACTGTGCACTTTCCATTTTGTGTAAAACATGTCTTTAACTTGGTCAGTCTGATCAAATAATCAGTCAACAACCAGATTGTGTTTAGAAAACTGTTCAATACTTGATATTTCCAAATCATTCATCACACTGGAAATGGAAGGTCAAGTGTGCATACGACAAATATAGCAGAAATAGTAATAGAATGGTAGCATGCTGTTCAAAAAATAGCCATCCTGTGGCCTGACTCAAAAGCTCAAACTTTGTTAGGAAATGCTTTCACTATAGACCTCCTTGGTATACACACACACACACACAGAGATTATGAATCACCATTTACCAGCTATATACTAGATTGAATTGTTTTTGTTTTTTTTTGTAAGCAAATAAACAGAGACAAAAACTGTACACAGACTGAATTGCTGGGATTACTGGAAGAAGGTAGGTGGTCTGTAAATCAATCTAATCTCTAACTGCCTGATTAGTGTTAAACCTATACTATCCCTGCACGCACCTGCCTTTTGATACTCTACTTGAACACAACTAATGAATTAGCCAATCAGAACACGGACTCATGCCACACCCGACTGCTTATCCAATCATGTGCTCCAGGCTGGCTTCTCCAACATTCATTCATCGCAACCAAAGCCACTGTTAAGAGAGAAAGTAGATGCATTTAGGAATCTTTAAGATCACTTACAACAGAACAGCAATGCATTTTATGGACGACCGTTTCTCAGACATGCAGAGAAATTGGAGATTAAAAAGAGCAAAACAATTTATCATCATTTTATCTGCATTTATTTATATCTAACGTTTTTCCAACAATGTATACAAAAGCATAAAATTAATATAAAAGGTTAAAAAACAGTTAAAATATAAATATATAGCATAAAATAATCATGTGAATCTAAAAGCTTTACATCACTAAATGACATTTCCATAATCTGTCCTATCTTCTAGAGCTTCACTTCCCAGAGAGCCTTCCTGAAATCTGTACAGGTGTAGGATCAGGTCTCGAATCTCCTCCCGTTTACCTCGCACCTTTTGCCGTGAAAACCAGTGATCCAATCTCAATGGAAAGTCAAAGTGTAACACAGGGTCCTGAAAGATATACAAATAGCATTGCTGTGAAATTAGACTCTTGCACAGATTTTGGTATTTGAAAATCTTGAATAAAGAATGGGTATAATTCTACCAGCAAAAAACTTTCTGCATATTGTAGCAGGTAAAGGCCACAGTCACTGCTGTTGTCCTGTAGGGGGACTCTACAGTGGGAGCCTATCATGTTGTCAACACTAAAGTCACGGTAACCACCTCTTTTTGTCTCCCACTCCACCTGAAGGTATCTAAAAAAAAACCCCTCAAAATTAATCATGTCATGTAAACAAATTTCATTATACACATTATATATATATATATATATATAAACTCATAAAGACTGAAACTACAGGTGAAAATATCTTATTACACTAGTATAATTTACATAATACTAGTAAACAAATAATAATAATAAAAATAGCAACAACAACACTTAACATAAATGTTAGATTAAGTTGGGCTGTAGTTAGTGTGCAAACACTCACTCGCGCAAGAGTTTGAAAATACGTTCGTGAACAGACAACTTCAAGGAATCCATGATGAGAATACATGGTCTGAAAAAAAAAGAATAAAAATTATTCTTAAAATTCCTTTTAAAAATGTTAACTCTGTCAGACTGTTCTGCCCATTAAAAGGCAAAAGATAAAAAAAAGAAAAATGTTTCCTGAAAGCCTCCATAACTGCATAAAAAAAAAAAATATATATATATATAAATAAAAAGCAATTAAATTATAGAAAATCAAAAACACGTTATTTTTACTTTTATAATAAAAATAATAACAGACAATACCTAATATCTATTATATAGTACTATTATAATATTATCGTAATGTATGCAGTATGTTTCTTTTTTTTATTGGAAAACCTAAATTATTATCTTTTCCCACACTAAATTCTCTACTTAATGACAAAAAAAAATACATTTGAGTTTATTTAAAAATACACACATACCTTTTACACACAATTTGTCTCTTGCAGGTATTTTCTGTACAGTCCTACAGAGGGAGAAGGTTCTGCTATTATTGTGCATGTGCAAATTATCTGTCCACATCCCATTATATCAAATCAAATGCTATCCAACAATTCAATTTTTCAAATTAAAGATTTCTGACTAGCATGACCTGACAGTTATTCATATTTGTTTTGACTTACAGGAAGATGAAGAGACATTCTTGACTTTATATGACTGTCATCTAGATTAAGAACAAAAGTTTGTCTAAAATCATCAAATGATACTTAAAAGTAGTAAGCTTTAGTAAATCAGTAGTAAAGCATTAGAATTACAATTTTTCAAAACTTACACGTCTTACCTTTGTCCTCATCACTGCTGGATCTATTCTCTCCATGGATCTCACCCTCAGACTCACCCAAACCTTCACCTCCATCGCCCTGTACAAAGCCACTGCCATCCCTCTTCACATACTGTGGCTCTTCTAACCCGGGGAAACAGATCACCACGAGGTACCAGTGAGCTCTGAAGCAAACACCAGACATGATATAAGACAATTATAATCACGATATGATTTACACTGGTACATTCAAGGCACATGAAAGCTCAAACGTTTTATAATGTCCATAAAGAGCACAAATTAGCGAATGGAAAAAAAGAAACCTGTACTTAAAAAGCAATCACAGCTCTAAAAACACTGGCCCTCAAAAGTAAGTATGGCTTAAGTGTCCAACAACTGTATTTATATCGCTAATATTCACTCTTGATTGACAGGCACAAACAGGAAGTCTTTGTCGAAGATGTCTACATGACGCGTCCATGTCCTCACACGCTGATGTCTTCTGACCTGAGCTCTGATGGACAACCAAAGTTGAAAAATACGAAGACCATTTGTAACAATATGCATTATCAAAGAAAAGTGTATATCAGTATTGCACAAGGCCTATATGAGAATAAATGTGTGCTGTCTATACTCACGGTGTGCTTGTACTGTCCTCATTAGCGTTGTCTCTGCGTGTGAGCTGTTTATAGAAAAAACTGCTGAAAACATGAGATCTGTCTACAGATGCTTGCGGGGCCTTTTGCACCAGAAGATACCTGAAAAACACGCATACAAAATGCATCATCAGTTTGCAAGTTTGCAGTCAATGAGGACTCAAAGAGGACAGTTTGAGACTTTTAGTAGCAAGTAAATAGGGTAGACATACAGTACGGTGTACGGTTACGGTGATTTCAGATTAAGCACCTAAAACATACAGTACAGTTCAAAAGTTTGCAGTCAGTAAGAATTTTTTATGTTTTTGAAAAACACTTCTTATGCACAACAAGGCTGCATTTAGCCTATCTGTTCAAAAATAAAAACAGCAATATTGCAAAATATTATTACAATTTAAAATAACCATATTCTAATTGAATATATTTTAAAATGTAATCCATTCCTGTGATGGCAAAGCTGAATTTTCAGCAACCATTACTCTAGCCTAAAAGAAATCATATGTAATTATTATAATAAGCCTTATTGACCCCAAAGATTTGAATGGTAATGTAATGTTAAAAACAGCCAATGTTTAGTTGTTTTTCCACATCATAATGCTTCCAAACTTCATGCTGATAGTCAAAACCCCCAGTGCTTACTTCTTCCCACTTCTTCCCAAATAGCTGTGAAGGAGTGACTGGATCTAATTCAACTCCTCCCACTGATACGTTGTGTATAAAAGCCATCCTTGGTTGTCTTACTTGAGGTAGAAGTCGATGATGACATCATTAAGAAACTCGCCACTGTCTAAACACTCCAGGTCCTCTGTCGTCATGGTGATGGCTCCTTTCGAGGGTGGAGGAGGGAACTGAATCAATCTAAACAGAGTTGAATGAAAGTAAATTAAGACTGAGGTTCAGACAAAATAAATAGGGTTATGTAAACCCTTTGAGGCCAAGAAGAGTTTAAATTTTTTTTTAATGAACACTTATTCAGTAAGGAGTAAGGACAGATTAAATTAATCAAAAGTGAAAGTAAAGAAATTTAGAATGTTACAAACTATTTCTATTTAAAATAAATGTTAAACTGTTAAACTTGCTGTTCATCAAAAAATCCTGAAAAAATGCATCACGGTTTCCACAAGAATATTAAGCAGCACAACTGTTTACATCATGACGATAATAAATAAGGAATGTTTCTTGAGCACCAAATCAGCATTTTTGAATGGTTTCTGAAGGCTCATGTGATACTAAGGACAAGAGTAATGATGCTGAAAATTTGGTTTTGACATTACAGAATAAATTATATCTTAAAATATTATTTTTTTTAATTGTAACAATATTTTCCAATATAAGTTTTTTTTTTTTTGCTGTATTACTGATCAAATAAATGCAGCTTTGGTGATCATTAAAGATTTCTGTCAAAAACAAAACGTTTTTACCTGCGTGCTGGACCACAGTGTTGGTACGGGGCCCATTCTGCCCCAAGTGTAGGTGCCAAGGTAACACTGTATGAACCCTGAGCTCTTCTGTGGCACAGCGTGTAAACTGGCTTCAACTGAACTTCAGAATCCTGAGACTGAAAACACACATTAAATCCATAAAATGGCCAAAACAGTTTTTTCCCTCCTATAATCGATAATTTTCTTCCTAGTCCTCCCAGATCAAACTAAGCTGGAAAAACAGATCGTTCAAAAACCACCACACTGACATAGAGTGTTTGAAAAGTGAAAATGATTCTGTATTTTGTATTTAATAATATGTTACAATTCAAATAACTTGCCTATAATCAGCCTAATATTTTGTAACTAAATTACTTACATTAAACGTTAACTACAAGAAAGAAATGAACTTGCAAACAAGAAAAAAAAAAGCAAGCACGCAAGATACAACGATGCAATATATTTTGACTGAACCTTCTCAGTAGATACAGCGGCATGTGCAGCAGTGCTGGTTTGAGGATCAGTTTCGGGCATCAGCATTTGGAGAAGGTGTGTTTCCTGGGAGCTCTGAAGCAGTTTCAGGCTTTCCGGCTGTGTGAGGGGGGAGTGGAGTTCGAAGCTGTTCTGGTTCAAACCCACTATGTCCATTAAAGAGGCCAAGACAGCACTTTCAACACCAGTTACAGGTTCAGCCAAACACAGCAACACACACGTACTGCTTTCAGCTGTAGACACACAGCAAAACGTATGTAAAAGGAGAAAGAATATAGAAAGTACTGTCATTGCTTTCAAAAATATTAACAATAATAGTTTTACAGTTTCAACAATAAAGTAATCAAGAAAATAGACAGGTAGTTGACCTGGACATGTGCCTGGCAGGATGACGGACAGGTCATTGTGTAATTGGTGTGCCTGGGCATCAGACAGCCAAAGGAAGAGCAGAGAAGGGGGTGGGACCTCGTTGTCCTTAACCAGGCCACACCCCCTAAATACAGGCTCCTCCCATACACTGTATTTACACACACTAGCCGTCGATATAGAAATGTTCATTGAAGAATCTGAACAAACAAAAAGAAAAAAGTTTTAAACATGCATAATATATCTACTAGACATAGATACAATCTTATCTATATCTAATATAAATCAGAAAATAATAATGTATGGAATAATAAAGGTTATAGAGTTATTTTACTGTTAAATAATCTACAAAAGAAAACACAGCAAATGCTTAATAATGTACACTTCACCAGAATATTTCTAATAATAATGTTTGTGTTTAAAACAGGTTTACCTTTCAATGAAAAGGTGATCTCGTCTGTAGTGATCTGAAAAATGATATATTAAAAATCAGTAACACAAATAGAAAATAGAGAGAGATTCATAAACATTCTTCATACACCTGTTACACTATTTTCATGTAAATCACAGTTTGAATCATGACTGGAATGATTCAGACAGATTTGATCACTCCAACCCATCAGATCAACATATCACTCTCACCTTCATACTCTCACAAGTAGCACTAACTCCACCCATGTGAAGGGAAGACAGCTGCAGCTCCATCTCAGCAGAACTCTGACAATCAATACATACATACACATATCAGTGCCAGTGCCCGGTTGCAACAGCCCCCTGTTAAGCTAGATGTTTTTACATCAAGATAAGCTATTATGAGACGCCATAAAATCAGCTATATTATTTAGTAAATAAAATGAATTCTTTTAGTCCAGTAGGTGGATCATCATATGTGTGTGGTGTTTTTTTCTTCTTGTAAACTCTTACCCATTTATCTACTATATTCATGTCTTTTGCACCCTCCAGTGGCTGGATGTTTGGGGCAGAGGCTTCCAACTCTTTTCTTTCCTCTCCTTCCACTTCTTCTTCCTCTTCACTGGACAGAACAACTAAGCAAGGCAAAAATGGAATTATTGACTTCAAATAACAATCATACACAGTTAGAAAAAATGTTGGTAACACTTTCTATGAAGACCATGCTTATAATGAATTATACCTCCATTTATATTTATTTATAAGAATTACTATGTTATAAACATATTTATAAAGACTCATTAAGACTTATACTGCATTATAAGAACAGTTATATTTGCATTTATATTATTTTTATAATTACCTATAAGTCATGCAGTCTCTTTTTCAACGCACATGTTCATAATCCATTATAAACTGATTTATAAGTATTAATTAGTTGGCCATGTAGTTCTATGAATGTATTTATAAAGATGCAACCTGCATTGCTATAATGTTAATATATTAGTAACAATTACTTTAGTAATTCAGACGTATTTCTGTCAAATAAGTGAATATATTGTTATTAACGGCTGTGTAGAGTTCTTATAAATGCTTATTGTGAGTACTACTACTAGTTACTAACCCATATAAATGCATCATTGATGGCTTTAAGAAAAGTGAAAACATAGGATGCAATAGTCTTAAAGCAAATGTTAAGAAACCATTAAAGATGTGCTCATTATCCGTTTAAGTTGTTTACTTGTAAATGTAACTAATGAACAATAATTCCTGTAATAATGAAGAAAATCATTAATACAAACAGTTGAAAATACTCTTTTAAATGTTACATACTTGCAAAACACTGCAACAATATTTTAAAGCATAATTCCAAACAAACTGCTATAAGCAATACCATGCATATGGCTGAGGAGATATAGATTTGAACAAATCAAAATTACCAATCATTACCTCAAAACATTACCGCAAACATTAGCCATTAAAGACATAATAAGCAATTGGTACAACAAACAAGTGTCTCTGGAACTATTTTATATTTGATCATTTATAAACCATTGTATAATGGATTATGAGCATGTACACTGAAGAAGAAAATGCATGCCTTATAATTACAAAAATAATATAAACATAATTATAACTGTTCTTATAACACAGTATAGGTCTTAATGAGTCTATATAAATATATTTATAGAATAGTAATACTTATTTATAAGTACGTATAAATGGGGCTATAATTCATTATAAGCATGGTCTTCATAGAAAGTGTTACCAAAATGTTTTGTTATATCTGTGTGGAATATAAAAAACAAATCATGTTTGATATTTATTAGTGAAATGACAGTTATCAATTAAATACACTTCCATTCAAAAGTTTGGGGTGGGTAAGACTATTTTAAAATGTTTTTAAAAGAAGTCTCTTATGCTCACTAGGGCTGTTCTTATTTTATCAAAAAAGTGGAAACAGTAATATTGTGAAACATTATTCCAATTTTAAATAACCGTTTTCTATTTTAACATATTTAAAAATTTAATTTATTCATGTGATAGCAAAACTAAATTTTCAGCAGCCATTACTCCAGTCTTTGTTGTCACATGATCATTTAGTAATCATTCTAATATGCTGATTTGGTGCTCTAGACACGGTTTTTATTATTACTCTATAAAAC